ACAGAACATTGAGAGCCGAAATGGCTCCAGAATAAGTTAAGCAAACCATTATAATTTTTTTCGTATTTTGACCGCGGTTTACGATTTGTATGTCAACTATTCTCCGTGGATGCGTTTGTTGGTACCTTTGGTTGCCTGGCGAACAAAGCATTGATACGGAAACTTTTCTGCAAAACTTATGGGAAACCAAACAGCCACGAAACAGAGAAGATAAAAAGAATATAGGAGTTAAAATTTGATGAATCACAAGAACAGTCTTTTTCATGAATAAAGATGATGTGGGTAACAAGTGCCAACCGCAGGTGTAATGCACCTTTAAAATGGCCACAATTGTTGATCTGTCTTCACTGATATTTAATGTTTAGGGTGTATCCTGGAACGACAAGTAGATTTCTCTTTGTAACGGTAACTAATGAATATATCGTTGAAGGTATAAAGTCCCTGCTATGTTGTAAATCAGCTTTCAGACGACAAGAGTAATGTGGAAGGGATATAAAACCGATTCAAAGCTCCTATTGTAAACTTCTAACTTTTATGTTACACTCTGTTACATGCCTCAATCCACAATAAAGCTTTTGGATATCATAAGCGGAGTTACCGTAACTAACTTGTTTTTCTTAAATTTTGTTGTCGTAGGTTGGGCGCTGTAACAAATAAAAGAGGTAAAGATGTTCCGCGAAACGAAAGAAACTGGGCCAATACTGAAAAAAAGCGGTATTTGAAGGAATCCGAGAATGCTTATCAGCTTTTTGTGATAGCTTGGCTTCGTAAGGGAATAAGTTTATCTGGAAACGTCAGTCCTCTGTCCAATTGTTAAGATATCTAAAAACAGCGCTTAGTTGCATCGCGTGTTTGAAGTGCTAGCTAACCAGAAATTCTTGTTTTATCCATTTATTAATTCCAATTTTGATTTACTTTTACTCCGTATGTACCGCTCAAACCTCTGTGTTTTGCATTTTTATCTTCAACGTACTCGATGCTATGGGTAATTGGGTTTGATGCTCCCAATTATACTCAGCTAGTCAGTTCTGCGCAGAACATTAGACGCAATAAACATTTGATTTACGGATCCCAAGTTTGACGTATAGCCCAGTAACAAAAAGGCTAACGGTCGAAAAAAAAGCAACAAGTATCATGCAGCGTTCTTTCGTTGCGAAGAATTCAGGAATTCTGCAAAATACTGGAAGAACATACGGCCATTTCTTCCAACGAGTCATTTCCTCATCGTATAACAGGTATTTGAAGTGTGAAGTATCACAGAATACCAATAAATATTTACAATTCTACTATTTAAGAAGTATTTTTCAGAATCAAGCGGATTCAGTTTACAATTGACAGAATACGCTTTTGCTGAGTCTGCATTTCATTTGCTAAAAATAAGCTTGAAAGCGGAGATACACTAAAAAACATAGATGTATCATATATTCCTACTTCAATTCCATCCACTAACTGTACATGCCAGAAGTTATCCACTGTCAGACTATATTTGTTTCACAAAGCAAAAAAGCAACAATGCTTCAAAATTTTTATTTTTCATATTCCCATTGCGCCCTTGTTCGTCCATTAAACATATATAATTCAAACTTGGAGACGGGATTTCATAAGATTCTAAAACTGACTGGTTTCTGAAAAAAAAACTATCTGGTTTAAAGACTTCTGAATCACATCTAGATGAACGGAAATCTCTAACTTTTTCGCACTCTCATCACTTCTAAGTAGTCACGAAAGAGAAATTTAAAGTGGCGGACTTTTCATTCATGCTTGAATTATGCTCTATAACTCATCAAAACTGAAAAAAACGGGATGATTATTTGAAAAGGCATTTCGCTTGTTAAGGATTGATTCAAAAAACCGTTATGTCGCTTTTCTTTATGCACCCGGATACTTAAAAGAATTGATTCCTTACAGTAAAAAACAGTCTCTAATTACGAAATATTTCGGCTTTTATAACGAAAAAAAGAAGCCTTTTAGTCGAAAAGCTGCTCTTCCCGCCTCCGTAACAGTTTTACCACCTTGAAAAGATTTAACCCGCACTTACTGATCCTATAATAACTTGTAAAGCAGACGTGCCCCTTCAAAGATACGACAGTTGTGAGAAAAGTATCATGCGCAAAATAATTTTCTTTTAAGATTTTGCGCCTTGGTAGGTGGAACCTTTCAACAGCAAAGTAACACAATGCCCAATTCCCTCGGCCTTCGCAGCAAAACCGAAATTAAGTTTTTAATATTATTTGGTATCGCCGTGTCCAATGCCTTCTTAATTCGAAACACCTCTTACTGCAAACGGGTAAATCTGACCTGTAACTTCAATTTTTGATGAAACTGTGTGACGTCAGGCCACATATCTGCGACTAATCTGATTAGTAAAAGTAATGCAAGAACAAAATAGAGAGAGAGTCGATTAAAAACGATTGGAACTAGTGCTGTCAGCACAGAGTGCCTCCACAAATTTCAGGTTCACGACGCAGCCCGTCTGTGAGGAAACTCACAAGAGGCTGACGGTAAGAGAGCGAGTGGCGAACTATACATAAGGAATGAAGACGAGTGTAGTAGACTGAAAGAGCGGGTACAGAAAACTGCAGTTGATAACGCTCCTTAAAGGCGGAACTCCACGTGCTTGAAACTTCATCGTTTTAACAACAGCCATTTCAAAGCGCAAATTTTTTGCGATTGTTGTAGTCGTCCCATATTTTGGCTACCTAATCGTGGAGAGAATTTGTTAAAGGAACTGCGATATTTTGAAAGCAGCGCTCTTTGAAAGGCGTTCCCTATTGGTGGGGGAAAGATCGTGGTTAGCAGCGAAATATGACATTTCAACTATTAAATTTCCTTCAATTTTTTTTTTGTTAGTAAGAGTGATTCTACTGAGGCTTAATTTTCTTCTAAGGTTGAGGCAATGGGTATTCACTTTCCAATTTAATTTCACTGTTACAGGTGGATAAATCTATTATCCTTAAACGTCTCGGATCAACTTTTAATCGGTTAATTAACCTTAAACAGTTGGATTTTGGTAAATTTGGCAGCGTAGAATTCCAGTTGCAGTATGATTTCACCAAACCGTATTAACGAAGGGAAGGACAAAGTTCTTGGAATTTTTTCGCTATTCACTGAAGAAGGTACAGTTAACTAGAATTATCCACAGATAGCTAATTCCATTTATTCATTAATTTATAAATTAGCTTTCAGAAATGGTTGAAAGTCACTGCATTATCAAAACTGATTGTCGGCAATGATAAATAGCTTTATGTTGGCTATTAAAATTTAAGGCATTGTAATTTCCAAAAGCTGCTTACAGTGTTTTGAAGTTCTTTTCTTTTTGACAGTATTTCTGCTTCTATTAAAAGTTTTCGTTTATGAACATGGAAATGAAGCAATAATTTCAGAATTAATGGACATTTTCGCACTTGAGGAAGACTGTTTAGAACGTTGCCTACTGTACTGGGGGTGCATAACACAAGTTAGTCTGCTAGAAATTAGACTCTACTATAAGTTTAGACTTCTTATTTCATTGGAAATCTTGCTGTAATTTTCAGCTAACAGTACTTGTTTCTTTTTAATAAGTACTACTTGTTAGTCAATATCGAGCATACTTATGCAAAGGTTACCTGTTCTTTTAATCGCGGTAATGAATTTTCAGGACTCATCCTGCTGTTTCAAAGGCATTGACGACCTCGTTGTGCGCGTGAGTGCAGTAAGGACAAGGCATAAAAATCTGGAAATAAAGGGTCTGTTTTATGTTTGGTTGGAAGTGCAAAGTAAATTAGTATCTTCTTGTAGACGCTTTGTTGTCAGATTTTGTGAAAATAAGTACTACTTCCCTTTCACTGACTTTACACGTATGTCAGGAAAATATTTACATTTCATTAGCAAAGTGCAGGTTATCTTTTTCACTGTAACTCTTGAAAGATAGGGCATTAATATTTTATAGCACTTTTTGAGTCGATATCAAAATCGAGGAAAACGCTTATTACTGCTGGTCGTGATGAAAGGACTTTCACGATCACATCGGTAATATATATTCTTATCAAGTTTAGCTGAACTGAACAAAATAGCCTGTTTTTTTTTTCAATACCTTGTTGAACATTCACTAGAGTGTTTTCAACTTTTTTAATGCTCTTTCTGCTATACTTTTTACAGAAAAAAAATGCTTTTTTGGAGGCCCGTGAACTCGATTCGGACGGTGTTTCTTCACCTTCTGTTTCGACAGGTGTTTTTACTCTTGTTGTTATTTTTTTGTCATCTATCGTGATAAGGTGGTAGCTCTATTCATTTATATTCTTTACCAGTTTCTGTAAAGTTGTGTGCCTCAGCAAAAATTTTCAAAGATAATTTTCAAGATAATGCTAGCGCTGGAAAAGATCCTGCATCCGAACGACTAAAGCTCTCTTTTTCCACCGTACGTGGGTTCATTATTATTTCATAGGAGATCGTAAGAATTATAAGTTGATACATATATCTTTGTAATTTTTACTTTGCTGAGTGGCTGTAGGGTCGTCGTTTAGAATTCAAATACAGGAAAAGTCGTCTGTCTTTCTCGCAATGGAAAGTTGGGTTAGTTTTTTTTACTGTTGCAAGTAGATCGGACTTGCAGTTCATTAAGCTTATTTGCGGACATGAGATGAAAAACTTTTTTAGTTTTTATTTTGGCTTTTGAAATGGCTACTTGTCATTTCAATTAGGTTCTTTTGTTAATTGTATTCAGTTTGTTTGTTTGGTTTTTAGAGTCCTTGGATAAACAGCAAACCGCTGTAAAAAGTAAAAAAGCGCTTTATCAAAGCGTTTTGGAAGCAGCAAAGCGGAAACCTAGACACTTAATTTCGCGGCCTTTTAAGAGCTCGAAGAAGTTTATTAAGCGAGCTGGTAAAGCATCTGATAGTTCAGACGAATGCCATGAAAAAAAGGTTTTTTATTGCCATTCTCAAAGTTTCTATATGAAAGGCATTGTTCTCTTTTTAATCGTTATGGTAATTTTTTTAAAGGCTATAGATCGCCTTTTCTTCTCTCATTTTGGATATTAAGTTAAAAGCTAAGAAGATGATTTTTTAAGAAACGTTTTTCATTTACAACGGCATCTGAACGTGACCATTTTTTGGAGGATGTTGCTGATGTGCCAAAAAAACTTGAGGGATACACGGTAGGAAGTATTTAAAATACCAGTCGCTTTTTCTGCCTTCTTCTATTGAGTTGGATTAGTCTTGCAAATTGAAAACTTCTACTTATGAGTCATCGTGCAGCAGCTCGCAGGAGTTACACTTTTTTCTGCTGCTTAGCATGAAATATCTTTATTTTTTAAAACTGCAATTTTTTCAGATACCAAAGAAGTCCCTGATGCAAGATTTGTTTGTCGACAAGGCATATATTTTATCTATTATCGTTGACTATTGTAGTTCTTTTACTAGTAATGCTCTCTTTAAGTATTACGGTAGCATAAACAAAACTTCACTTTAATTTTGCCTTCTGTGTTGGCATATACTTTCTAAAATCGAATGCTTTTAGGCTGAAGGCGAAACTTTTTGTGGTGCTTTGAATTTAAGCTATTTATTGGAACATTTAGGCTGCACGTTTGTCACGGAGAAAAAGGTAGCGGGAACGAGTGATTTTCCATTGAAAGACTGTTGCATTTGACATTGCTTTTGTTATTAAAATGTTGGATTTTCAGGATTTTCCACAGTTTGAAGTGACAGAAAATAATGTTGAAATGGTTAACGGTAGACGAAGTTTTAAAGCAGATGTTCGTTTTTTGTCTACTGTGAAAACAGAGGTCCGTAACGTATAGGGTCTTAATTTTTTGTTTTGCTTATTTTTTCGCATTCATATTGAATTCCCTCCCCATTCATTTTCATCGGAGCTCTGTCAAAGCTTCTTAAATCTTTTTAAAATGTTAGATATTGCAGAATAGAAAAGGTGATGCGCTTAAACTTTGAAGAAATTGTAGGCATATTGCTTCTGTTCGTCGGAATGTTTGAAAATATTTATATTGCCATTATATGATTCCACTTCCAATAGAGGGTTTGTTCTGCCTACTGCACGAAATTATGAGGAATTTGGGATCACTAATTTACTGAGGAATAAGACGTTTCCGGCAAAACTTATAGCTTCCAAAGTAAGTTACAAGTTTTTCGGTGGATTCAGTAACGTGCTGGTGTTGCTCCTTGTTTTTTTTTTTCTTCTGTAAGATCATAGAAATTAGACCCTATTTTAAAGTAAAAATAGTTTAGTTTATAAGTTTTTTAATCAAGCAAAGCTCCTATTTATTATTGGGTTAATGCGGAAGCTTCCTAACTTTTTTAATTTTTTAATTCCTGAAGTCACTGATGAAACCACTGTCTGAAAAGTTTACAAGGTTTGTGGTAACTTTTGTAAACTTAAGAACATTAATTTTTGGCTTTTTTCTTCTGCATATTCACGTCAGTACAGAATGTGCGTCCTTCCTTGTTTTCCAAAACCATCGTTCTAATCTTTTATTTTTCTTGTCAGAAATGACTGTAGTTTAGAAAAGTAACATTTGTTTTAACCGGATTGCAAACGCTAAATAAAAAATTTTTCGAAGTTCCTTTGATAAGACGATTTTTGACCTCTGAAATTTGCTAATTTTCTATGGCAGTTGCTGGATACCTTTCTTCTCCTATCAGACCTTCAGTTTTCCACCAGCCTTCCTACCACCCACAATTTGCTTAAGTTCGTATTTGCTCCTAGTCCCTTTGATTAATTGATTTTTTATGATAAGGCGAAAAGCCAGAAGCCTTTCCACTGGAATCAGCTTTGAATTTCTAATTCTTTATTCGCAGATTCCGGTTCTCAAGTATTTAATATGTGATAGGAGATTTCAAAAGAGAGTAAAGCACTGTCATAAATCCGAATGCGCCAAAAAGCTTTTTTTACAGGTTTTGACTGGTTATTTTCATAGAGCGTGCAGTGAGTGAAAGCATTATTGTTGAAAGATTATGTTCAGTAGACAATTTCTTCGTAATAACACGACCTTTTCATAGCAAATTTATACATTAACCTTCTTCCCTTAGTGGACAACATAGGTCCTACAAGTTTTTCAATGTAAATAAAGCTGCATTTTGTGCGTTTGATTTCGTATGTTTCTAGTGATAGCGAATTGAGAAGAATGGTTCTGGATTATCATTTATTTGAATTATTCCTGTGGTTTTAGACTACCCGTTTTTTACTCAGTGCAAGGCGGGTTTTTCAGCACCTACCACGTAAAAAACTACTCGGAAGCAATATAGACAAAGCTAAGACTAAATATAAATTTCGGAACAGAGTCTCCTACAAACCAGTACCTGCTCCAACGGCGGTAGACGAAAACTGTTCTTGCAGAGGCGCGGTGGACAGTTATACGGACATTTCTATAAAGAATTGCAAAACTGTATTTTTTCATTTGAATGCTAATCGCGTTTTGATCTTTATACACTTTGTGATTTCTTCGTCTCTATGCCTGTAAAACATTTTCTTTTATAGAAAAGATAATCTTAAATTTATTTGCAAATATTATTTTAGGATAGAAATTTGCTTGCATCCTTCGTAGGCGGTGTTAAAATAGGCAATTTTCATAATGACTGGAGAACTAAGGCTGAGGAATGTATTTGCGATTATTTTGGGATCCTCCACTTCCGTCTTGATTTGCCAGCAAAGGTAATTGGGAAGTAGATCTTTTTTCACTCTTAGAGGACACATTTATTGAAGTCTCTCTCCATTTTTCATCTTTATTTTGCTGGTTTGTAGTAAGCTTTTTTGCTTTAATTACTACATTTTTCCAAAGAGTGCCTTGACACAACTTAATAGTTTCCTCACAGATATTTGCTTGTCTTTATTTCCCTCCAGATACCAATTTAAGGAGCTCGAAAGGAACAGCAAGGAGTTTGCGGAAACGAAGTTAGCCTTTAGGTCTGCTATTTCTTATCACTGGAAGTGTCTTGTTGACGATCAGTACGACCCTGTCTCTCACTCTGGAAGAACGACATCATTGTCTAATCCTGTAAGCAGTCTGCATTTGAGTACAAGTCGTACCCATCTTATAGTAATATCGTATTCATCTCAAATTTCAAAGTAAACAATTATAATTAGGCTCCCATTCGTAAGAAGTGTTCTTGGAAGAGTTGTGAGGATTACGCTTTTCATTTTGTCCAGGAAAGAATATCTCGAGATTTTCGCTTGATGCGTAGGTTTTAAAAATTTTTCGGCACTTAAGTTCTAAACAAAATTGTTTTGTACTAATGGAGTTTTGCTTTTTTCCAAATTAAGTCCTAATTAGTTGCTTGATTATATCTTTGCTGCTGACATGTAACAGAAAAGAATCACTTATGTTGGCCTATTGCAATAGGCAGTTACTTCATGCATAGTGTCTGGACTGGCTAACTTGCTGTCAGCTAACTTCGCTGACGTGCTCATTTGATAATAAATGATTTGAGCGGTAAATGCCTCAAAGTTTTTTCACACTGTTGTTTTGCAGGCCCCTTTTACGAAGAGATTGAGGAAGGATTAGTTCTCTCCGGAATCGAGTCGTAGTGGTTGGTTTTCAGTTCCATCTTTTTACTTATTGGAAAACTAGTTTCAAGCGTCATTACAAATTAAATCACATGTTTGATTCAGTTTGTTTTTTGCTTTGTTCGCAATCTATACCTCTAAAATACTGGTTATATGTTTCTAGAGCTAGAAAGGCAGCAATAAAGCAAAAGTCGCTCAATGAACGAAAAATTACAGCTTTTTGCCGGTCACAGTTCGCTGTATAGATTTTCTTGAATTATTTCCTAGAGCCTCTTGTTACTGCACTGTTTTAGTGTGCTCTTTCTGTAAGAATTTTGTTGTTGGTCGTGTCTTGTAAATGTGCAACTTTGTGACTTGACCACCAGACGTCTTTTCAGTTGCTTTGCCGTGTTCGGCCTGTGTGGATTATATATTGTTTATGTGCATAGTATAAATTGTACTTGTATTGAAGTTGGTCAAAACTTACTAGAGTCTTGCAATATACAGTAGAGGATATGGGAACTTGGATACTCTAACGGAAAAAATAATAAAAATTGACATAACTATAGAACTGTTGCACAAACGACAACAGTCAACATGTCTCATGGCAGTATAAATTGAAGATAGGTGACGGGTACAACAACTTTTCATAGATATCATTTTTTAATAGAAAGAGCAACAGATTTAAGAGCAAATAAACAGTTCAGATTGAGCAGTTTTAATGGCGAGAGAGTCCGAGTAAGAAAGAGCAACTTATAGAAAGCAGGCAGATTTGGAAGCACAAAAAAGTAACTGAAGAAAAGACAAAACTGCTGTACAAACTGTCCCTTCCGGCACTTAAAAAGTTCCTACCCTGCAAAACTATATTTGTCGTAGGAGATGTACTGGATTAAAAAGAGTTGGAGACTGACGCGGAAAGACACGTCTTATTACTCTATGATCACCTAACGTAGTGATTTTCATGTTAACAAAAGCTGAAAGCCTGCACCAGATGGCTTTCACTTTTGGCAAGGCTAACTTTCGGACCACTCAATGCCTTTTTGGAGCTCTGCCTGCTGCAGAATTGGTTGATTGGCGCGCCTTCGTTTGAAGAACCCGCATCTCCACAAAATAATCACAATAAGAAGTAGAATTAAGATCCCCACAACAACCGCGATGGCGATGATGTATAGGGGGATTGGTTCACTGATTTTGGGCTGGTCAGGATATGCATCTGTCCTAGCAAAAGCAGAGTCGTCATTCTTGTCAGTCTGCTCAATCCCTTGCTGAGGATCTAGGATGATGCGCCCATGCGAACTGATGATCACATAGGTCATGTCAGAATAATCCTGAAAGGCAGAAATAAAAAACCTTAATATCACTCATGACTGTAATGCTTTTGAACTAGCAAATTTTTTGATGTGACCTTTCCGCCAATTAATTAGCTAAACATTATTACCTCAACAAACGTGGCATTCCACAGTCGAGCCCGAAGCTCAATTGTTGCAGTCGCGTGCTCACTCAGAAAGTCAACATTGCACTTTATGGTAAAACACTTAGCAGTCTTGTCTGCACAATTCTGCAAACACAAAGCGGTAATTATCCGTAAACCGAAAGCACGGACGTATTCAACAGTTTGGTACTCTCACCAGCAATCGTACGAAGATTACTTATACAACTAAGGGAACTTATACATGTAACTCATACATGACTGAGTCAGTCATGAATGCAAAAAGAAAGAAAAACAAACGTACAATATCCGCAAATTTCTCGCCTTTCTCTTCATCAATTTTGACGTTCTCTTCGCGAACGGCAGCAGAAGAAGGCTCATTAATAGATGCTCCTACTGGCTGCAAAAAAATACTTGATGTATTTTTTTCATCTTTCCGTAGACGTTTTCCGGTCGTAAGTCAGCATTTCTATTTTTCTTTTCAAGCTGTTCTTGAAATACTTACAGCATCTCTCCTGGTTCTGCTTTGGCTCCTAATTTCGTCTTCCACTGTGTATGACCTGCTAATAACTACTTGAAGCGGATTGATATAGGCCAGTGGAAGCGTTACAGAGCAGCGTTTATAACTGTCTTCATCTTCGACATTACTCGTTGTTATAAGCGGTAATTCGACCAAATAAAGAGCATATTTGCCTTGAGTGTATCTGCTTGCCAACTGGTACGGCCAATTTATCTTAATTTGTAAGCGTTTAATGCAAAATATGGTACTGTTTGCAAAATCGATTCGTTTTGATTATATACTAGAGAATAGTTACAGAAATACATATAAGGATGTGAACGAAACAGTTCAGTAGACGAAGGTCGTCCATAATAGTCAAAAATTAACAAGTTACCTCAACCGTTATATTATTCACAGCCCATGGACCATGATTTGCAACATGGTAATAGTGGTAAACTTCAGGACCGATATCCTCGTCATATTTCATTGCAGATGCGCCTTTTGGAGGCCCGCCGAATCTTAATTTTTAAATTCAAAATGAAGAGTATAGAAAGAACAATCAAAAGTAAAGACCGTTACTTTCATTAATCTAGGTTCTCATCAACTTTACAATGCAAAATCTAAGTACCAGTAACGGTTAGCCACTAGATTGGCAAGGTTAAAGCTTAAACTTGGCTATTACCGAACTAGTGCGGGATTTGACACTGCGGTAAGTTCAAGTTCGGCTTTCTTGATAACGCGAACAACAGCGCTCCATTCATTGTCCTTCAGGTTTGTCTCCTCGCTTGTGCTATTGACCAACGCATGAAACTGCAACGGTTTTCCCACTCCACCGGTACGACCAATGGCCAGTTTGAATATTAACTCAAAAACCAGCTGGAAAATTTTCATGAAGAACATTTCAAAGAATGACACCTGCATTTATTAAATTATATCTGGTCACTGCGAGATGGAGAAATAAAACAGAGTTGACACTCCTACTGTTTTATATTCCTATATGCAGCCGTAGTGGGAAAAATAATAGTGACAATAGCAATAATAATATTAATAATAATAATAATAATAATAATAATATAATAATAAGACGGTAATAATAAGAATAGTAGTAGTAACAAAGGTGATAGTAATGATAACAGTCATGCTAATACTCATACGAGTATTAATGTTGCTACTAACTCCAAATTTGTCTGGTAGTGTAAGATCTTGTTTCATATAGATTTGTGAGCGATTATGCTCTCCAAACCACAAATTTATATATATATAT